AGTACAGTTGGAATGCTCCTTAGAAGTGAAGATGGCAAGACTTTGTTTTTAGTACTTTGGACATGTTGTCAGGAGGGACCAGTCCTTGAAGAATGACATCATGTTTGGTAAAGTTGAGGGTCAGTGTAAAAGAGGATTACCCTCAACATAATGGATTGACACAGTGGCAGAAACCATGGGATCAAACCTAACAACAATTGCAAGGATGGTTCAGGACTGGGTAGTGTTTTGTTTTGTTTTTATCAGATCACAGAGTTAGAAGCCCTGGGGTGGCACTTCAGGATAAGAACTGGACCACAGGTTGGCAATTTAAACCCACCAGTCACTATTCAGAAACCATATAAAGAGTCATTATGAGTTAGAACTGATTCAATGGGACTTAACAACAATATAGAGTTATGCAATATATTATCTGTCACTTTTATAAATTTTAAAGTCACATGTTTTTAAAACACCACAACAATAATTCTGCTATCTGCTTCCTCCCAATTAATGTGTAGCAGACATTGTTCTAGTTTATATATAAAATTTTACATTTAATATTAAAGAATACTGTGGTTATACCATTTTCTGTCATATGGGTCACTATGAGTAAAAACTCAAGTCAATGGCATCTACAACACCATATATTTTATACACACACACGTGAACCAGATCTGATCCCTTCTCTATTTGATCTACTTTGTAAGTCTATTTTACAACAGTAGTATTTTAACTGCTGACCTTGTGGTTCAAACTGACCTTGAGGTCAAGTACTTATCATACAGCATCACACCAGGACTCTTGTATTTTAGTTAGTGTGGTCTTATTAAATATTTTAATGCCTTTTCAAAATTGTCTTGTCTGTCCTTATACATTAATACTTTCAAATGAACTTTTGGGATTGTTTTATAAAATTTCAAATCTAAAACCAAATTTCTACTATGGTTTAATAGGGATTTGACTAAATTAGTATTATTATAACACTATTTCATCTTCTCTGTGCTGTTGTAATTGTTTTTGTTAAATGCCATCAAGATGGTTCTGAATCATAGCAACTCTGTATAGGGTTTCTGATGAGTGGCTAGTGGATTTGAACCACCCATCTGGAAGTTAGCAGTCCAGTGCTTTGGTCTTCTCTAGAAATGACCATTTCTAAAATTTGTTATTAATTTATACCTGGTCAGAAATTGTACCTAAGCTAGAAACAATCCTTTTAGCTATTTATTTACATATCATGACCTTTAAAGGCTTCAGGTACTCTGAAAAGATCTATTTCTGAACTAGACATTACAGTTTGTTTGGCAATGGAGATATCTGGAAAGTTTTCATTAAGCTATCTTGAAAAACTAATAAAATAAATATTAAGCCAGGTCAGAGTGAAGGTCCTTTTATATTAGATTTACATTTACTCTATCCCATGTTTTCATGGGATTGGGTCCTAGTAGTTTTATTTCTAAGATGTCTTCTGACATATAACCTTAAAAGTTTAAAATTATAGCCTTATGTATAGCCATTAATTTTTGAAGCTATGGTTACTAACTACATCATGTTAATGAAAATTATATTTGTTTGAATACACATGTTGTATGAATACATGATGACAACAAAAGTCTTTCACACCAAAAAATAAAATATGAAAACTGTTGTCATGAAGTAGACTCTGACCCATGGAGATACACATGTTAAAGATTAGGGTACTTCTGGCTGTAATCTTAACAGAAGTAGATTACCAGGTCATTCCTCCATTGTAGAATGGGATGGTTTCAAAGCACCATAATAGTTAGGGACAAATAGTCTGAGCCACCTAAAAACTTGATCTTTTTCTCACTACTTGTTAAGCCATTATCTTAACTCTATAAATTCATTAGATTATAATTGGCTTTAAGCCACTAAATAGTTAGGAAGCCCTGAGATCCTGTGTTCTGCCTTTCTTACTTTCGACCTGACAATCATGAATCTTGTTATTCTAGAAATTTTCTAAGAAAGAGTATTTCTCTGTTTCAATTTATTCAAATTTTATGTTTCTCAGTAAAAAGAGATTTCTATATTTTGACCCAAACTTCTTGCTAAATTTCTTCCTTGCTATAGTATAATATTTTGCCAGTATGAAGAGAATCAGTTTTTCATATTACTTTCTAACTAGTCACTGCTGGCTTTTAAGAAAATAATTGATCTTCTCTGTCTCTCTCTGTTTTTGTCCTTAAGAAAACTGTCTTGGGTTTTCCTCTGTAGCCTACCACGTTGCAAATGATATAAGCATTTTCACTCTCAAAATATATGTAAACCTTTAAAAAAGTATTGCATTAGCTAGGGCTTGCAGAACTATTATAAATCATGGATGTGAGAATGGTGGTTGTTGTTGTTAACTGCTGTTGAGTCGGTTCCAACTCATTGTGACCCTGTATAGGGTTTCCAAGGCTGTAAATCTTTAGGGGAGCAGAAAGTCTCATCTTTCTCCTTCGAAACCGCTGATAGTTTTGAACTCCTGACATTGAGGTTAGCAGCCCAACTCATAACCACTACCAGAGCTCCTTGAACAGGTTTATAGATATATGTAAATTACAATCAATCCTTATATATCTTATAAACCAAGCAAATAAATTATTATTTAAGTATGCTTCCATCCACTGTCATTTACTGTCTGATTGATTATTAAATTACCTTGAAGAGGCATGTTAACAGATATCATTGTTACTGTGATTTTTGTCAATTCTTCTTTCATTTCCAATGGTATTTGCTTTGTATATATTGGTACAATGTATTTTGGGCAATATAGATACTGATGTCTGTTATTTCTTTTAATAGACTGTGTCAAAGAGATTCCTTTTTGATTAGCTGAAAATTGGTTTGTTTTTAACCAGTTTTTGCCTGCCATGTATCTTCCATACATTTATTTTTAATTTTTCTATATAATTTTGTACTAGGGATATGCCCCTTACTTACAAATATAAAAGATGAGGTACAAAACTGAAAAGCTGAGACTTATATGATTGATATCATCTCCCCAAATAGTTGACATCCACAGTTGGAGTAATTTTGAACTTAGAATTCCAACCACAAAACTTGCTAAAACTTGGTACTCAATTTCACCCACAATGTCAGTGGCTGCAAGAAAAGGAAAGTTGGAAAAAGTTAGCAAAACATTATCAGTCATTTCTGGTTTGATGACAATGGGTTTGGTTCTGGTTTGGTGTTGTGATACCCTGGCTCAACTTCTTGTCATCTATAAAAATAGCTCATCGTGGGTTCTGGGAAGGCACTCTCCCACCAAAATAACAACAAATGTTAAAGAATGATGCTAGACTATTAGGGTCTCTGAATCAGGGAGTAGTGGAAAGCTGCAGATGGTCTAGAGTCTGATATGAAGAGTCAAAAAGTAGGAACATTGCTTCTGCCATTATCCTGGCCACTTCTCCAGCCACATGGGCTGTGTGTGCTGTCAACCAGGAAAGTGGCCCCCATAAAGCAGCGGGGTTTCTCAATCCATGCCCCCTGCCTGTTCAGAGACAGGACTCCAAGCTTCTGCTCTAACATCAACAAAGTCAACCTCCTCCCTAGGGTATGTTCTGAGTGTGCCAGCTTCAATGCCATCTAATAACTGTTGGCTGCCAGGTTGCTGCAAATTCATGTAGAAGAATACTTGCTCCTACAACCATCATTATCCCTACATGTGCACCCATACTCCCATTGATACTGAGAATTGATGGCTGAGATGGCTGTGAGCTGCAAAGCAGGTGTATTGAGTGGAACCTGCTCCCATAGCCAACAATCTACAGGTGGGGCTTTGAAATCCACAAGGCAGACCTCCCTAGGGACCCATATGGAGAATACAAGTCCTTGGCTATACAGTAACCGTCAAGTTTCCGGACTGCTGAAAATTGCTACAGAAGCTATTCTGCAATGGAGTCTGCTCCCTACAGGCCTGCCTGCACATAGCAGATGCACACCAGATCAGTTCTCTGAAATCAGCTGGGCAGAGCTTCGCAGGCAGTTTGAGTCTATCTGCTTTCCTCTCTTGAACTTCCAATAATCAGTGCTGAGGCCTGCTGACTGCAACGGTCATGAACTAAGAAACATGTACTTTAAGTGGATTCTGCTCCCATAGCCAACATACTACAAATGGGGCTCTATAATCAACAGGGTATCCCCTCCCCACCTGGTAACTGTCTGTTGCTGAGCTGATAGGAATTGCTATAGAAGGCTCGTTACAGTGGTGCCAAGAAGTAGATTCCTTAATTGGGACCTGCTCCTCCCGTTAACACAGGTCCCCTGAGTCTCTAAAAGCTGTAAAATAGTTCTTTATGAGGCCTGTCTGGGGAGTGCCAGCCACTCCTCCTCCTGATGCAGTTCAAAGTATGCCTGTGCTTTTCCTGAATGCCAGCTCAGATATAAGTTACTCTTCCAGAACAAGCAATGAAGTCTAGAACAAAATTTGAGGGCAACAGCCAGCCCAGCAGTGATCTCATTGGGTGTGAGATCAGACTGAAAATATGGTTGCAGAAACAGAGCCGAGGAGGGAACTGATAATCAGAAGAGAGAGAGAGAAGACTGTGCTCCCTGGTAGACAAAATGCAGAGTATCTCTCCTGAGTAGTGGCCGCATACTTTGGTGGACAGATTGAACACTGCATGTTCTTTGATGTGTTTGGGAGATACTGAAAACTCAAAATCAAAACCTGAGACTTTCAAATCCTAATTACTACAGGAAGGAGAAGGAGCTATCTCAGAGACGGAGAGTAAAAATGTAATAATGACTAGAAGGCCCCACCTGCTTAAGAATTTCTTGCAGGATGCAGTGTGGGGGAAAAAAAACACACCACAAGACACTTGGTAGAAATAAGAAAACAAACATCCTCAAAAACTCCAATGGTCCAGAAGAGGCAGCAAGGTGATAGCGTAGGCAGAAATGCTATAGAGACACTCTACAACAAAGATACAGACAACCAAATGAAACAGACATAGGTGATGGTTCTAGAACCCTGAGCTTCAGATGAAGGAATAAAGAAGTGGATTGATTGCTTACTAGGAAAGGAAGTTAAACAGATGAGGCCAAAAAGAAGGTGAAACACAGGTACTGAGGAGACATGGCAAAACCATCTTAAACTTTTGCGAGCGACCTTTGAGAAAAGACTATGGGTTGGTGGTCCAGAGGTGTAACTATGACCCGCAGATATAAAGGTGTGATTTTTTTTTTTTTTCTTGTTTCCCACATTCCTGTGGTGAACAGAGGCATGGTTGACCTCATCCATGTACACCCCCAGAAAAACGCCCCCTTTCCTGGTGGTCAGAGCCACATGGTGGTGAGCCATGCAATTGTGAGTCAGGAGTTCCCCACACCAACCCTGGTACCTGGATTCAGGTGAGCCCCACTACAAATCTGCAGGGCCTGCCCTAGTCAACCCACCCTCAGTAGGAGAGGAGGCTGAACATATGTGGGGTTGGGAAATTAATAGTATTGAAGAAAGAAATAGAAAACTCTACAATAATAGTGAAGTTGATACAGGAATGGACAGTGTTTCGTTCTGTTGTACATGGGTTCACTATGTATTGGAATTGACTTGATAGCACCTAATAACAACAACAATACTACTTGGAGATTTTAATATACCATTTTCGATGAAGGTCAGAACAACTAGAAGGAGACTCAACAAAGACACAAAAGAAGTAAACAACACAATCAACTCATTTGACCTCATAGACTTGTACAGAGCACTCAACCAGGTAACAGCACAATTCACATTCTTTTCCAGTACACATGGAACATTTTCCATAATATATCATATGTTATGCCAAAAAGCAAGTCTCAATAAACAAAACAGCATTGAAATATTACAAAGCATCTTTTCAGATGTTTATACTATACAACTAGAAATCAACCACAGGAAGATCAAGGAGAAAAAAAAAAACGTCAAATACATGGAAATTGAATAACACTCCCCCTAAAAGATACTGGGTAATAGAAGAATGAAACATGAAACAAACAAAAGACAACCTTGAATCAAATGAGAACAAAAACACAGCATACAAAAACCTTTGGGACACAGCAAAAGCAGTGTAGAAAGGGAAATTTACAGTAATAAATGCACACATCCAAAAAGATGAAAGAACCAAAATCAGTACATTAATGTAATATCTCTAATGATTAGAAAAAGAACAGTAAAGTAAGCCTTGTTGTTGTTGTTGTTAGGTGCCATCGAGTCAGTACCGACTCATAGTGAACTTATGTACAGCAGAATGAAAAACTGCCCGATCCTGGGCCAACCTCAATTACTGTTGCCACGCTTGAGTCCATCAATGCTGCCACTTGGCCGATCCATCTCGTTGGGGGTCTTCCTCTTTTTCTCTGATCCTCCACCTTACCAAACATGATATCCTTCTCCAGCGACTGGTCCCTCCTGACAATATGTCCAAAGTATGAGAGACAAAGTTTGGCCATCTTGGCCTCCAAGGAGCACTCTGGCTTCACTTCTTTCAAAATGAATCTATGGGTTCTTTTGGCAGCCCATTGCACTTTCAATATACTCCTCCAACACCATAACTCACATGCATGAATTCTACGTAAGCCTACTACCTCCAAAAGATTACAAATAATAAAGTTTAGAACAGAAATCAATGAAACACAAAGCAGAAAAAGGATAGATAGAATCAACAAGACAAGAATTTGATTATTTGAAAGGATTAATTAAATTGACACGCCATTGACAAATCTAGCAAAAAACAAAAAAAAGAAGCAAATAACATGAATAAGAAATAGAATGGGCGACATTACAACAGAACCAATGGAAATAAAAAGGATCCACGGTACTTAACAATAACAAGGAAGAATTGTATTCCAGAAAATCTGAAAATCTAGAAGAAATAGACAAATTAACACAGATGAAAGTGGAACAAGAGTACTGTTGTTGATGTCAGATGATTTGGGTTGAAAGCAGAGAATATCATAAAGATGTTTATTTGTGCATTATTGACTATGCAAAAACTTTTGATTGTGTGGACCACAACAAACTCTGGATAACATTTCGATGAATGACTATTCCAGAACACTTATTTGTACTTGAATACAATTACATACATAGACCAAGGAGCAATCATTCAGACATAATAAGTGGACAATGAATGATTTAAAATCAGGAAAGGTATGTGCCAGGGTTGTATCATTTTTCCATACTTATTCCATCTGTATGCTGAGCAAATGATCTGAGAAACTGGCTTACTTAAAGAAGAACATGGCATGAGTATTGGAGGAAAACTCATTAACAACCCAGGATATGCAGATGATACAACCTTGCTTGCTGAAAAGGAAGAGGACTTAACATATTACTGATGAAGATCAATAACTATAGCCTTTATTCACTATGGATTGCATCTCAATGTGAGGAAAACAAAAATCCTTGCAATTGAACCAATAAGTAATATAAATGGAGAATACATTGACGTTGTCTTTTATTCAAAAGGCTTCATTTTGCTCAGATCAACCATCAATCATGGAAGCAGCAGTCAAGAAATCAAACACATTGCATTCGGTAAATCTACTGTACAAGACCTCTTTAAAGTGCTTAAGAGCAGAGATGTAAGTTTGAGGATTAAGGTATGCCAGACCCAAGTCATGGTATTTTCAATAACCTCATATGTATGTGACGGGGGTGCTCAGGGTTAATGTGCTGTGGGTTAACGCACTGGATTGCAAGGTTGGTTTGAACTGCAAGGTTGATGGTTCAAGCTCACCAGCCTCTCCTCGTAAACCTTATACAGGGTCGCTATGTCGCTATGTGTTGGAACAGACTCCATGGCACATAACAAACAAAAACATACATACATACATATACACTCTCATGTACAATGAAAGAAGGAATAAGGAAAGTTTTCTCTGTAGACTGCAGGGAGATAGTCTCAGTGCCAGGGAAAGAGAAGTCGCTTCCTCTCATTGCTACTGATGGACACACTATCTGATTTATTGGGTAGGCTAACGTAAAAAATATTTCTCATTCTTTGTTATCAGCATTCTGGTTCAGCCTAGGCTGATGGAATGCTGCTCCCATAAGCATCCTCATGAAATGTCATGAAATGCCTTATAAGCAAAACTGCAATTACTATCAAACAAAGTCAGGTGCGGTGTGGCACATTAACTGTGGGTTAATGTGTTGGACTGCAAATTTGGTTTGAACCACAAGGTCAACTGTTCAAATCTAGTAGATGCTTCTCAGAAACCCTATACAGGTGTTAGATGTGATTGTTGTCCTTGTTAAGTGCTTTTCAGTGTGTTCTGACTCATGGTGACTTTGAATAAGTGTGATGTTGTTGTTGTTAAGTGCCACCAAGTAGATTCTGACCCATAGCAACCCTGTACAGGGTTTCTGAGGAGCAGTTGGTGGGTTTGAACTGCCAACCTTGTGGTTTGTAGTCCAGTGCTGTGATAGTACATTGTTAAAGGTCAATCACTATATTATTACTCACTACTATATTCTACAAGTATACCTTAAGGTATGCTATTATTTAATTCTTGTCTATTTTCAGAAAATGTAGGATTAGAACTTTTGAAAAATGAAGAAAAAATTATTTTTACCTATGGAATAGTTCATTTGCTTTTGCATGTGCATATTTATTTTCAACATAGTTGAAAATATCATCAAAGATAAAATGGAGGATATCAGGCTTTCCCCATTAATTAAAGTGGCAAGAGATCTGGAAAGACCTATGGGGAAAAAGATTTTGTTTTTTAGTGAGGGAAAAAAAAACCATCAAAATTAAAGAATATTTGCAAATAGAGAATTCTTCTTAAATATGGATGGTTTATGTTACATAATTTCCCTTATATACTTACAACTATTAGTCAAGTTTGAAAACTTCCTACAAGGAAATTTTATTATATATCAAAGTGGCATTGTAGGATAGGCATAGATCGATTTGAACCTTAAGATGATGGTTCAAACCCACCAGACACTCCTCAGAAACCCTATACAGGGTTGCCGTGAGTAGGAACCAACTCAACAGCACACAACAATAACAACAACAACAACAGACTATCATCATCAAGGGCCAAGTTTTTTGTATCATTTGACATAGAAAAAACCTGTTGTTGGTGGTGTTAAGTGCTGTCGACTCGATTCCAACTCATAACACCCTGTATAGGGTTTCTGAGGCTTCAAATCTTTACCAGAACAGAAAACCTCATTTTTCCACCATGGAACAGCTAGTGAGCTCAAACTTTGGACCTTGTGGTTTGCAGTCCAGGGCTTATTGTATGGAACAACTGTGCCCCCCAATTGTCAAGTCAGTTATGGTCAATTATAGTTTATTTAAGTGAGATAATCAATTGGAACTCTCATTCCTTGTTTCAAAGACGAGATGAAAGCATGGAATTCATTATTATCTCTTTAATCCAGTCATTTGGTCTATAAAACACACGTAGTAGTAAGTCAGATCGATTTAAGACAGAACTTAATGACTGAGAGATCAAATGAATCCGTAGGCTAAGGCTTTATAATTCTGCAGCTAAGCACATAATTTAGTTAATTGTCTGGCTAATCTAACTATAATCTAGCCTGACTTTCCTATATGTTCATACCAATGGTACTAGAAATTAGTCTCCATGTATTAGTAACACTGATATTATCTACTTTCATCTTCATTTTACTTCATTTATGTGATATTCTAAATTTAAACCGAAACCCAAACCCATTGTTGTCCCGTTAATTCTGACACTAAGTCCGAGTAGAACTTTCCCATAGGGTCTCCAAGGCAGGAAACGTTACAGATGCAGATGGCCTGTCTCATATTTTCCCCACAGAGCAGTTGCTGAGTTCAAACAGCCAACCTTTTGGTTAGGCTGGTGTGGCGCTGTGGGTTAATGCGCCAGACTGCAAAGTCATTTGAACTGCAAAGTTGGCGGTTCAAACTCACCAGCTGCTCCTCAGAAACCCTATACAGGGTTGCTTTGGGTTGGAATTGACTCAACGGCACTTCACAACAACATTCAGTATTTAACTACTAAGCCATCAGGGCTTCTATTCTAAATGTTGTTGTTAATTGCCTAGGAGACAGTTCTGACTCATAGAGACCTTGTGTAAGGTTATCAAGGAGTGGTGAATTTGAACCACCTACTTTGCGGTTCAAACCTACCTGTGGTCAAGTGCGTATCCTACAGCGCCTACAACAAACAAAATATCTCAAAGCTAAGATAAGTTAATTGCAAAATAAGGTATTTTAAATGCAAAAAGAAAGAAAAAGACTTACCAAGATCTCTTACAGCAACTGCAGTCAGCATGGGATCTGAACTATATAGGATAAGTGAAAATAGTAACGATGGTATGATCCTTAAAGGTAATTTATTCACAGAGGACAGATACCAAAAAATGAACATATAATTTAAAAGAAAACCAGGAATTGTGATTATAATGATCTGCAAAGAGATTTTACAAATAGAAAAGTCAGATGCCTTTATAATTCTTTTTTTTTTTAAACCAATAATCAATTGAATCTTTATTAACAAAATATTAACCAAAATATACAGACCTTCCTTAGGGATCCTAGGCCTGATACTATGCTACAAACTCTGGGTTATATGCTAAATACTAAATCCTTCCCTATTTTCGTCATGAAATGCCTTATAAGCAAAACTGCAATTA